TTAGTCTTCAAAATAGTATTAAAAAGTTTAGTTAGCCAAAAAATTCCTTCATCTTCTAAGCATTTCCACATCTCTATTAGAATATCACAGGTCCAACAGCTTATCCACACTTCATTTTCTTTGAAGCCTCTTTAACTTCAGTTTTACTAATACGCCGATAAAAATAAAAATATTTATTTTCATTTAGGGTGCTAAAGTCACTAAAGTCAATCGTATTTTCACAATCTTCATTAAAAAAATTTAGCAAAATATCTCATCCATCTTTGTTGAATATCATCTTCTAAGAAAAGTACTTTTTGATCTTCATCCTTAATACATTTCACTTGAACTAAATCCTTACTACTATCTCTTTGTTTGGCTAACTTATACATATTTATTTCTCCCTCCTTAGTATCTAATCTATTATATAAATCTTTAGAAGTTAAACTCTTTGCATTGCAAATAGCTTTTTTAGAGTACTTACGAGCCTCTTTATAGCTTTCCCAATTATCCGAATTTTTACATATAAACTAATTTTTATAATAAATCTTATTATTTTTTATCTTTTCTTACACATTTGGATTTCACCACCAACTATTTTTAATATTATGACATATTTCCTTCGAAACTCGAAGCACATCTTTTACAATAATCTTAATATCACTAGCCATTTTTTCCTATATAATATTAGCATCCTCATGCACAGTCAAAATCTTAAGATCTAAAATTTTACTCTAAAAAATACTTTTGTTAATATTCTTTAAATACCCTCATCTAATTCTAGAAAAATGTTTTACTTTATTTTTTATTTTTTATCCCGTTATCTTAAAGTTCAAAATTATAATTAATGTTGAGTACATAAATTTTCACTCATAATAAATTTATAATCTTTGCAATCTAAATGATTTAATTTTCTTATATGAAAATAATCAATCTGTGTTTTACTATATTCATTTTTATAAGTGATAAGATACTCATCTCTTTTCTTAAATAAGATATTAGCTATTAAAAAATCATAAGCTAAAGAAAAATTCAATATGGCCTTACCACTTTTACTTGTCGTTCCTAACAAATGGCCACCATAAATACTTTTAAAATTATCTACCTCTCTACCAACGTGTCCATTTAAATCTCCTCCATTAAAAACTCTTTCTTCATGAGATATCTTTTGTGTTAATTCTTACAAGTCATTCTAAAATTTTAATTTTGAACCTATATCCAAAATTACTTGAGGAGCGCAAGTACTTATAATATTAACAATCTTAACATTAACAATAATCTTTAAATCTATAATTCTATCTTTAATTATATTAATTTTTATAATATTATCCTTCAAACTCTTATCTATAATTACACCTATATCATTTCTAATACGACTTCTACCTGAATAGCATAGTTTAAATCATAAACTATCAATCTCCATAGACTTCTCTTCAACCCATTTAGTTTTCTGAATCCATAAAATATTTATCTTCCTATGAATCATAATATTTATTAATTTTCTTGTAAGAGAACTTATATTTCAAATTTTTATCCTAATTTTAGTTTCATGAACTAGTTTCTTTGCCTACATCTATCCTTGATGTAGGAACTCTTGTCTATTTAACACTACACTTAGGCGTCGGTGCAACGGTCGTTGTACACTTGTCGTTGTATTCAGGCCATACAACACTTCGGCTCCAGGGGACGTCCTAGCATAATATAATTTTTAAAAAAATTCATGTCATGATTATTCGATAAGTTTTACGCTTACTGTCGACTACCTAACACAACCCTCTACTTTTCTCATCCAGTACTTGAAACCAAATGATTAAATAGTACTTACTATTATTTAGATAATATTTGAATTATTATTTAAATAATTACTCAAATGATTATTCAAATAATACTTACATGATTATTTAAGTAATATTTAAATGAATGTTTAAATAATGCTAAAATAATTATCTAAATAATATGGTAAAATCTATTCAGCATTCTCGACACAAATCAGATGAAACTCGATCGAAATATGGATGGGCTCATTTAGAAAGTCTTGAGGATCAGAACGCACTCGTGCAATTCATTTCAAAAAACAAGACCCATATCAAAAGATTTTAAGTACGGAATGAGCATGCACATGGAAGGTTGAAATGCACGTAAAATACATATCGATTCAACGTCGACTCGATCACACATATTTTCAAACATAATCACGGACAATATGTGATCAAAAGTAATAGATTCCAAATACAGCGATGAATCGAGGTAAAATGTTTGATTTGACCCTTCATCAGACACAAAGTGGTGCAATGTACATGAAGGCAATCGATCTGCCAAATAAGATCGTGCCAGTGACCGATACCAAAAAGGAGGTCAACAGTTGGGAGAAATAATAAGACAAAAGAGACAGAGAGAGGAAATTTGGAGAAAAAAATGATTTTATGTGGCTAAAATATTATTCTTGAATTGATGAAACTATAATTTTGCTATGAATTTTGTGGCAAATCTATTGACAGAAAGATACCTTTTGAGGAACTTTTAAGAGGGTAATTTCTAATATTACTTAAATGTTTTTAACATATATTCTTTAGTGTTGCTCTTTGTTTTTTTTGCCTTGGGATATTTGAGACTTCTCTTCTATGATGAGATTGGGTGTTCTTAGGTTTAAGGATTAGTATTTTCTTATACTCTTTTATTTTGAGCACTTGTGTAACTTCTTTATAGTGGATCAGATTAGGGTTGGTAATCATGTTTGAAATCAAAACTCATTAGATAATCATTCAAAATAAAAAAAAATGATATACTTCAACTCAAAGATGCTCGTTCAAAATAAGTTGATTTAACTCAAAATGAACTCATTATATGATATGCTATATTTGTGTGGTAACACATTTATACATGTATATATAAAATAAATAATTATATAAATAGTGCATATATACATATATGTGCATTTATATTTATCATATTTAACAATCCATCCTCATAAATTAATTTTAAATACTTTTATATACATAGTAATTATGATTAGTTGTTTAAAATAGTATATAATATCAATGTGCTTTACTCAAATTAACTTGAAACTCGACTCGAAATTAAACATTGCTGATTGGTCTCAAATTTGGCTTGTGGCGAAATAAACATTTTTATTTTCAAGGTTAGGTTGTCTCTTTCTAAGTACTTCACTTGATGTTTCCCTTAGATTGAATGCTCTCTCCTTACCAGCGGATGCAACCTTATTTTAGTCCAATCATATAAATGTTAGTGTCTTCTTGTCCGGACGAACCTGGAGCAAAAACTGATATTACACCTTACCAGCGGATTCAACCTTATTTTAGTCCAATCATATAAATGTTAGTGTCTTCTTGTGGTGCTAGATCTCTTTTGTTAAGTGTGAAGCCAAAGTTTGTAATTATTCAAAATAGTTGCTCATTTCAATAATATGAAAGTCATAAATAGATGCTAGCTACTATAAAGTACTAAAGGGGGTTACCATAAAGCATAACTAGATGCTACCATAAAATCTTAAATGAAGACAACCACAAAGTTTATGATGGAGGCTATAGAAGTCTTCAATGGTGAGTATTCATTAATGTTGGAATGTGAACTCTTTGTTATATAAACCTATATAATCTTCAATTATAAATCATCTCACAATCATAAGAAAATAAAGAGAAGGAGAGAAGAGGAAGAGAGAAATGACAATAAAACAAGTTCTTATATTAGATAAGATAAAAGAAGGAGAAGCATCATCAATTTTTTTTTTCCTCGATGTGTAGCCCGCCTAGTCTTCTTAAAAGATGTTTGTCTTCCTTCTTAGTTGTTAATATAGACAAATTGATATTTTCGTCTTTACGAAATGTCATCTCTCTTTAGGTATGTATTTTAAAATATTTGATCTCTATGCGGCAATAGACTTAAATGAGTCCACTAAATAATGAAAACTTGTTACCTTTTATTTGAAAATTTTTGTATGATTATTCTCTCATCTTGATTTAGTTTTTGCTCAAAATTTTATCAAAATTCTAATATCTTTGTTATTACTTTGTGTGTTTAGTATCTTCACTCTGAGTAGGCACATCCGTATCCTCGCTCAAAATTTGTGGTTGTGGCTGATGAAGTGTATGGGCCTAATAATCATTGTAAAATTATGAATGTGCTTGTAAGAATGAATATACAAACACAAAACAAGCATATAAATACATGCATATAATTGCAATACATCTAACAATATCTTATTTGATAAATTATACAAACATTCGTGTATATTATAATAATGTAAGTATATACTATATTTTACTTCAATAAATAAAGAATGAGATGTGCACACATGGAAGTATGCATGTATAAACATACAAGAGATGCATTCTAAATTAAGTATAGTTATTATAAAATGTCATAAAGAATTGAATATTATAATGATATATTGATTTAAGTAATTATATGTTATGAATTTATATTATAAATATTATATTTATATGATTTATTTCATAATATATTACATTATCTATACATTTTTAATAATATAATTATTACTGTTTAATATATTTAAGCATATTATTTATATTATAAACTAATGAATAATGCATGCATTAATACTTGGTATATAATTTAAACATATACTATTATAAAATAACATAATTGTAATATTAAATTTTGTTTTGTTTGTTTGCATGTCTAGAAGAGTAATAATTTCGTAGGGAGGTAATCACATTTAATATTTTTCTGAATAGATTTTGGAGATATGAACCAGAAGTTATATGGCTTTGAAATTCCTAATCAAATTCTTGGAAAGAAATCACTTTGAACGCCCCCTTTCGATCAAAGAACCGAGATGATTCACTTGCCTAATTACTTGCAAAAACAAGAACTAATTACTACTGCTCCCGCAAGCAAATTTTCTGCTTATCTAATTATTTGTAGTCTGCCAGTATATCCTAGATTTATTCAACTATTGTTCTGTTCACTAATCTTAGCTTATTATTCGGCTTCTCGTAAGCATCTTAAATCTTGTATGTTCATTCCTGATCTATGTGTAGCTCTTACGAATTGAAGAGGAACTTGGAGATGTGCGATATGCTGGCAAAGCTTTCAGATCTCCACAATAACACTTTAAGGTAGTGCAAAACTGTTTAAACTTGGGTAATCCTCTTGCTGGAAAATTTTGTAGATTTCAACTTGGTTTCAATTGAAATTTCAACGGGCAACAGAGATGCTATTTTGCTATTTGTGAGGCTAACTGTTGGTGCAATGTCTGTTGTTTTGAGTAGATTTGAGTATAGCAGAAGATTTCTGCTGAATAACTGAAACTAGTATGCTCTTTCTTTCTTCATTTATGTTTTTGAATATTGCACATATGTTATAAGCCTTTTTTAAAAAATAAGCTAGAGGATTCATATATTAAAGATGTTTCAGGCATTTGTTAGCCATAAAAGTTTGTTTGGGGCGGCTTTCTTACTACTTCTCAAAGTAGCTTTTTTGTACAAAAAAAATCTTGTATGTCTGGACCATTGATATAAAACAAAAGTATCAACTTGAAATCATAACTCTCAATCTATCACACAAAAATTGATGTGCGAGTTGAGGTGTGAGTTGCCCATCAAGTTATGCATGCATTAGCGGTATCGAAAATTGACATGACACAAAAACCCGACTCTATTCTGACCCAAAATTTTCAAGTTAGGATCAACCTGATTTAAGAAAGGGTCAGATTCGAGTCCCGATTTTTGACCCGTTTTGAATTTCATGTCAGATTCGGGTCTAGCATGCTGCATATAAGGAAAGTCGGAATGGTGATGCAATGTTCACAATTTTAAATTAAAAAATCCTAAAAAATTTATCACACTTATTGCATCTTACGAAAACAATGAAGACCATTTTTATTAAATCATATATTTTATTATAATCATATATATAGTATTGAGTAGTGAAAATCTTGAGAAGACTGAGGACGGTCGTAGGTCATTTGTTCCCAATCACGATATATCGAATTGCATCCCTTTTATTTTCTACACGTTTGTACATTTGAGTTCTGATATTTTTAGTGCCAACTGCCAATAATGAGCTTTATATTTTCTTATGTTTGGCTGAGAAAAAAAAAATTGCAATTTTTTTTTTGAATTTTCAAATGCGCAATTTAGTTTATTTTAAGTGTATTCCAAAATTTTCCAAATTAAGTTAATTCAAAATACCAAAAAACTGCAAGCCCATAGAACTCTAAACACGTGTTATTCCTCTCACTTAGGGCATCTCCAACCGAAAATCTCATTTTTCACTCCAAAATGCCGTGAAACTAAAAAATAATGTGATTCATCTCCAATCGAATTTCATTTTGCCAAGGTAATAGTCGTTTTCTTCTTTGGCGCGTTTCTTTGGCTAGTTCGGTAGAGACTGAAAATTTTCAGAGATGAACAGTGCAATGTCAATATTGACGTCCCACTGTTCACCCGCAACCAAATAACATTAGTTTTACCGTTCGGCTGGAGCTCGCGAGCGATGCTATTAAAGCCTTTGGAGTTTGGTTGGAGATGATCTTACGACTGTCTTGCTCACAACCATATTCCCTTGTTGGACCACTTTACTTGCTACTGTCTTCCTCGCGATCTTCCCTTGCTATGTCCTCTCACTCATGATAGTTTCTCGCCAAACTCCCACTTATCAGCACAACTCGATGAAGAGTATTTGTTGATATTGTGCTACCAATTTTGTGTATCGTCTCCATCGGCAATATCTTGCATGAACACTATTATTCTTATCGTGCTCTAGAATAAAATTAAGATGTCATTTCTGAATAAATGAAAAAAAAAAAAAAACTCATGAGTTTATTTTACAACCAATAAAATAATTTAAGAAAAATCAAAATATAATATATTCAATTTACACTGCTCTTGAAATGCCTCGAATATCATAAATACTTGCAAGAACTAAGAATGAAGAGAATCCTATAATGTAATGGCAGAGGGCCACTCTCTTTTGTAGACTAGCTACCCTAAAGGCGTTAATGGAATATATAGTACCAACCTATATGTCCACAAATGCCCATTTTGATAACTCGTTGGTCTCTAAACAGATTTACACCCAAGAGGCACAACCATAAGGAAGCCCAAAGCAAGTCTCGCCTTAAAGGGGGGTCATTAGAACGAGCAATTATTACATCCGGACACCGAATGAATTCAGAGATCAATAACCACGCGCCACGTCACCTAAAACTCGATATTGAGGACTCGGTATTGCTCGGTATACATTCGGATCTGTTCGGATTTCACCGGACGTAATAATTGCTCCATTAGAACCAATCTATGAGCAAGCATGTATTAATTCTAATGGAGCTTGATATATATGAACTCATCTTTGGAGAATTAGATTAGGGATGCTCTTATTTCTGATGAGTACATCCAGAGGACTCCCCCCAATAAGTCTTTGCTCTAACGGGCACTCTCTCTAACACGGTTTGATTCTCTCAACGATTTTCCACAGCTAAGGTCATAAGCCTTCCATGAATGTCTCAATCTAAGCTACATAAAACACACGCACATATAAAGCTTATGGTTTCGACTATGTTGATCCCTTACTCACAACCACATTCACCTAAGAGACTCGCCGCTCACTTTGAGGGAATCGTCTCAAACACTTGCCATTAAAGATTCGCCCAAAGAACTCTCCCACGAGGACTTGCCCGAGCTAATGGCTAAGGGCTTCTCCAAGACATGCTAAAGGCAAAGAGCCACGTACATGCCTTTCAGCCTAGCCCATATATTTTTGTCTCTCTATATTTTCATTTTATGTATTATTTAACTTTTTTTTTTTAGTATAGCCTTTCATGTAGTCCTCGAAATCCAATATCCAGAGTCATATTCTAAACTTCATGATATTTTTACTGTTTATAATGATCATTTAGTTTTCCATCTACTCTCCACACTCATTGATCGCCATACTCTATTTCCTTTTAAATTTGTTAGTAGGGCCAACTGTTGCCCACAGACAAATTTTAATCCACCATAAATATTAATTTTTAAAATATCAAAAGTTTTATATACCTACCAAAGAACAATGTAGAGACTTGAGATCTTTAGATTTTCTTTATCATCATAAATGCTTTTGTCTAAAGGGGACATCACTACTATTCATACTATTTATGCATACAAAATAGTTTGATTACAACAAGCTTAGAGAAATTTAACATGCTAAATAAACAAATACAGGGAAGCCGAATTGGAAGATATGTTACTTAATATTTCTTTTACTAAGTGGGCATTAGACTTAGGCTTAGTTTGGGACGACTTTTTTTCTGCTTCTTAAAGCAACTTTTTAGTAGAAAAATTATTTTTTTTGTACTAAAAAGCTGTTTTAAGAAGTATTAAGAAAGCTGTCTGAAACGAAACCTTAGGCTTCATTGGGAACAGCTTTCTTATTGAATTCTAAAGTAGTTTTTGAGTATAAAAACTTTTGTTCAAAAAATTTTTGTACTAAAAACATGCTTTAAAAATTAAATTATAGATTTTAGGAAGAGATAATCAAAGAGGTGAATTAAATGTGCGTCTGATATTTTTTTTTTTGGGAAATTACGTCTGATATTTTCATTCCTGAACAAAATGCGATGATATGACCTTATGATAGTATGACTTAATTTATGATTTGATTCATAAGCGAGCTGGTCTATTTTAGCCTTCGTTTGAGACAGCTTTTTTATTGTTTTTTAAAGCAGCTTTCTAATAAAAAATTATTTTAAGAAACAGTAAAAAAGCCGTCTCAAACGCAATCTTAATTGTTTATGAGAATGAAGTCGAAGATTGAAATTGAGTCAAATATATATGTAATTAAATTTGCTTTCGACCTAAAGATTTAGTCTTCGTTTAGAACATCTTACTTACTGCTTTCTAAAATAACTCTCTAGTATAAAAATTTCTAATTTACAAATTTTTGTACTAAAAAATTATTTTATAAAACAATTAAAAAACTGACTTAATCGAAGCCTTAGCTTATGAATAAGAATCCATTACTTGATATTTTTATATTAATATATTATTTAATCATTTGATATGTAATTAAATTCAAAATTTCACATATCTTAACATTAATGATTTTCAAAATGAATAAATCTCTTTTGGACTTATTTGTTCATTACCATGGCCTTTTATCATGGGATTTATCCACCACCCCTTACTCATTAGCTAAGGAGCAAATCGATTTATTCGACAAATTAAGAGTTCTTCTATGTTTTCCCTTCAAACTTCTTTATGTTAGCATCTTTTTCTTTCTTTTTTTTACGACTTTCTCCTATCTTGCTTCATATCAATGCATGTTTCAAGTTCCTAAGTTGTAACTATTAAATAGTGTAAAGTATGCGATTTGAATTTATGATATGAAGAAATAATCTTTCCAACCACTAAGATTTTGTTTGGGATAATTTTCTTACTGCTTTTAAAAGCAACTTTTTAATATAAAAATTTTGAGTTTTAAAAATTTTTGTACTAAAAAGTTATTTTAGAAAGCAGTAATAAAACCATCCCAAACGAAGCCCAAGTCATGTATCCTTTCATTTGTTCTTGTTATCAGAGCAGTATTTGATAATTCTCTCGTATACTTTTTTTTTCTTTTTTGAAAAATTGAATTGTCAAAACAGAAATTCAATTTATTGTTGCGGAGGTTCTATTGAATTGTTACCAACTAAATTAGTTGTACTTTGTGCTTCAAAACTTCTCATATTGGTATCTATCTTGCTTACAATATAAGATGCAATTCTTATATTTTTAAGTTTATTATAATATGTATATTAGCTTATTATGCTTTTAACATGTTTAGCATTTATTTAAAAGTCTTTATTATGTCATGAAAATGAAGAAAACAAAAGGATTTTATTTTATTTATATATATATATTTTTTTATTATGGAAGGGTTTATTTTGTTATTTTAAGTTGTGTAAGGTGTTATATCATATATGTAAGTCATCTTCTCTTAATAATTGACTATGGTATGATGTTATAATTGATGATGAATGAAAAAAAAAATGTCCTTTCCTTATAAGGTGGATCTTAGCCTTCTCTTTCTCTCCATTGTCCTTTGTGGCTTTATGAGTGTGGTGAGTTTTATTATTGTGTATTAGAAAAATCCTTGCTATGTGTAAGGATTGATACTGGTTGAATTCAGGTTGTGTGCAAGATTCTTAATCTCTTGTCTATCTAGTCAAGGTGATTTGCTCCCTCTTAATATTTTCTTCTAGACATTTT